AAATATTTATAGTTCCATTAAATTACATTTAGTTTAGAAATTATGTGATATAGGATCACATATGAATATTTTGGTATAAGTATCCTTTTAGCTTTTATCATTTTTTTTAAACTTTATCTTTTAGTTTTTATAATTAAAAATATTTTATTTTAGTTCATATATATATATATATATATATATATTTTTTTTTTTTTTCTGTCTTAATAGTTTCACAAGTTTTAAGACATAGTAAAACGTTTAACCATAGAAATTAAAATTTATGAATGTGTTGAAGTTAAAAGAGTAATTAAACTTGTTTCCCCCCGTCACGTGCAAACTAAGAAAATGGTTTCGACTTTTCGTGAAGCCTCTAAACAAGTGTGGCCATGCATTTCTCAGCCATTAAGAGGTAAATGAACAAAGAAAGAACAACCAAGTAAAAGGCAAAAGTACGATGAAAATCGGAAAAACACACGATGAAAGGAATGAAACAACATAATATATGCTGAAGAACAATGAAATAATTGTAATTGATATGTTTCATTTAGCAAGTATAATAAAAAGTAATTGACTTTCATAAATGATAGATTGATGATTTGAGAGGGAAACTCACAGTTTTGTTGTGATGACTACCATTTGTTGATTCAGTTTCCAAACTTGCCATAGGTGCAGAATTAGATAGCCAGAAGTTTTTGCAGAAATGGAGATCAGCAAAGCAAACGGTGTTCTATAGTTAGTTTGTAATAAGAGAAAAAGGTGGCTCTCAGCTTTGAAAAACTTGACTGTGTGAGATATTTATAGACAGAGAAAGCAACAAAACAGAAACAAAATAAAATTGATAGATAACTATACTACTATATAAAATATTCGCAATAAATTCAGCAACCCTAATATCACACTTTCTAATGTTTTCTTTTTAACCCTTTTTTGTTTTTATAGGATGAAATTATAATGTCAAATACTAAACATAATATAAACAATAGTAGTTTGTTCAAACAGAAATTAATTGGATCTCTTTGTAAATAAAAAAAAATGTAACAAAACTTGAGTCTCATTAAAAATAATTAATTAGGATTTAATATAAATTAATTAATGAAAAAATTAGTAGATATATGTTGTATTGTGTCAATACCATAGTTAAAATAATTTAAAGATAATAGAAATTAGGTTAAAAAAATTGTCACAAATTGTTCTCAATAGAAGAGAGCGTGTGAAAAAATAAATTATTAGAGAATATTATTAATATTTTTCAAACAAATTTTACCACTTGGTGTAAAAATAATAGAAGAAAACATGTAAAATATATAGGAGAAGCTATATCATAAAGAAAAGTTCTGATATATGAATACTCATTTGTATACATAATTGATATGATTTATTTTCTTTATTTTTTTCTTATTACATTATAATATATGTATATATTACTTATCACTTTTATATCTCTTATATATTGCACTTATCATTTTTGTTTCCTTTATTTTTTTTTCTCGATCTCCTTGTATAGACATGCATTAGAAAGTTCAACAAATATTTTCATAGAGAGAACTTGAGAGACAAATATATTAGTAGAAAATATCTAGAAAAATATATATATATCGTGTCATTCTTCCTTTATTTAAGAGTTGGACAGTTGGTGGTATCTGTGGCCACGTATATTCCACGAATCGATCATACCTATTATGGGTTTAATTAATTTTGATTCCTCATACTATATATATGTGTTTATTTTGAAAATTCAGCTCTTATACGAAAATTTTGTTAATGAGTTCCTATTCCTGCAGTCACGTGTTAAAACAATATTGCACGTTATTCTTTACACGTAGTAATAAGACTGAATTGAAAATAATATCACATATATAGAAAGAATAATTTTCTAAAGTTTTATAAGTAATAAAAGAAAGTAAACGTTATGACGTTATGCATAATTTTATATATAAAATTTTTTTTTAATATATTCATGATCATAATGTCTCTGAATCTGGCATAACTGTCGATTAAACTCATTGCTTTCGTAGTAGCAAAAACTAAATGTTATAGTTTATTTTAAATATATATCATGATTAATATGATACTTTTTTTTTTAACGTAAGATACTTACTAAATTTATGTATAGAAATTTGAAGATTGATTTAATTTTATAGTTTATTGTTTCTTATATATGGCATGATATTTTAATTTGACCTTCTAACTTTATTTATTTTATTACATATCTTCTAACAATATTTAAATAGTCTCTTTTAATTAACACTTTAAATTCTACTTAAATCAAGTATGATACTTTTAATATATAATTTTATATATTTTCATATTACGTTTATTTTATAATTTACGATTAAAAGATTGAGTATAATTCATACGATATTTGTTAAAACATTTTCTTTAAAAAACCACCTTCACGCGTAGAGAATGGAATATGAAAGTCAGAGAGAGGTAGAGTTCTTAGACGTGACGTACATGACATCGTATAATATATAGTGTTTACATTGGAAAAATTGGAATATATATTGAAATTTAAAAGGGGAAACGTTGACTTTCAAGTCCGTGTTGCGATAGCTGTTTTCTTGGTAATGACCGAAACTTCGCGGAATACGTCACATTTTTTGTTGCCAAATGCCTACAGAATTACATGTACGTTTGATTTTTTTTTTTTTAAAAAAAAAAACAATTTCATACTGCTCAGAAATTATTTTTTTCACTCAAAATTTAAAAATGGTTTTCCAAAAAATTTTATTTAAAAATAAAAAAAAAAACATAAATACAACTTGTTTTCTGTCATTTTATTTCTTTTTCCATTTTTATCTTATTCCACTTCTTCCATACTCAATGATGGTTTTAAGTACAAATTGGTGAGACGATGGTCAAAAACTTCATTATTGGAGAAATGCCAAAAAAAAATTATTATTTAGTTTATATAATATAAAAAAATTTGTATAAATCAATTACTAGAAAAGTAAAATAATTATGAATAATTAATCAATAATCAAAATTTTCAACAATTAAGAAAAATATACCAATAATTTTATAAGATTAAATATAAAAAAAAAACATTGGATGTAAATAGGGAGGAAATAATAGACCTACCCTGCGAGTTGACTTGTTAACCGTCAAAAATTGGCAGGTCAGGTTGGACATTGTGGCCCACAAGCTTGTTAAGCTAAATGGTGGGTCAGGATGGATTGCCTTGCTATCTCGCCTAATTTTTTATATTATTTTATTTTTAATGTTAAATTTAAATAAGATACACGAGATTTATTATGTGAGTAATTTATAATTTTTTCTGCAACAAATATGTTATATATTTGATTTATTTTATTATATGTAATTTGAGATTTTTGCGCAACAAATTTGTTAGAAGAGTTATTATTATTATTATAACTGGATGTATATTTGTTGTGTAGTAAATCAAATCATATTTGTTATAAAATTTTATTATTTAGGTATACTAATTTATGTGAGTACTTAAGATATTAAAAAAGAAACATGTTAGAAGAGGTATCTAAAATAAATATGCAAACTTTGTTTTCCTTTTTTATTTATATATTTTTTAGTGAGCCCATGCACCCTAAGGCGAAGCAGGCCAAAACGTCCACCTCATTTTCACTTGGTGGGCGGGCCCAACCTAACCTGCTTTTGGTGGGCCAATGGTAGTGACCTTAGTTAAAAGAAGTGTAACGGACGTGCCTATTTATTTCAAAATGTTACTGTGACACCCTTACTACCCCAACACATATATAATATAAAGCATTCTGCTTGGTTCAAAATTCAATTTCTTCACCATCACAGTTTCAATCATGTCAAACACTGGCATTGCATAAATCTGCACCAAATAGTCACAAAAAGCAGCAGTTTAGATACCTATAGTTACTTTAATATAATGATTAGAAAAGGAGAATAGTTTTTGTATAGTTCAAGAATACAATGTGCACAGGATTGGTCCAAGAATAAAACTATTAAAACTTAAACTTTAAGTCTACCAATACAAAAACATTTGTTATTAGCTTTTATAAAGTAAAAATTACATATGTTGACAAAAAGGTTTCATATATTAAAAAAACTTAACATATACCTTTCTCATTTAAAAAAAAAAAAATCTCAAAATTTACTTCAAATCTCACTTATAGTTAGATCGACCCTTCATGTCTCTATGATCTTAACTGATCTCCATACAACATGTTATTGAATTTTATTTAACTTAATCTTATAAACTGAAAAACTTAGTGGTGTGTCATATGGTGATGGACTGGATCATAAACACGTGGTGGTTTCAGATCATACAATAATTTCTCCAAAGAAAAACGAAGTGTGAATTAAGTTAAAGCTTTCAACAAGTAAAGAATGAGAGAGAAATTGAATTTGACCTGATAGCTTCCAATTACATGAACTACAACAAACAAGTTAGCCATTGCAATCAGCCATGCTGGCTTCTCTAGAGAGATGAGGATGTCAGAGTCAACCTCATTGCCAAACATCCAGTAACCAATGAGAGCAACAGGGAAGTAGCATATAGCCACAACTATGTAGGCAACAACCACTCCTCTCCACATAGGAACCTTGGAGGGCTTCTCTGGTGTGGAAGGGATTGTTGCTTGGATTTCCAGCACCACATTGTGCCCAGCATAGGCAAAAGCCACAGTGCCAAGGGCATTGAAGAAGTTAAATATTGTTCCTGAAGTGCTCTTAGCTTTGTAACCATATTGTACATTATCTTGAACACCCTTGTCTAGAGAAGCTTTAAAAATATATTTATATGTTGAGATTTTTAAATTAAATTTTATAAAAATAAATATTAATCCATTTTTAAATATTTAATAATTTTAAAATTAATATTAGATAACATTTAATAATTTTAAAAATTAATATTAGATAATGTTTAATAATTTTAAAAATATTTTTGAATATCCAAATAATTAAAAGAATGAAGAGATAAGATAAAATATATAGGTGAAATAAGAAAAACAAATATGAAGAATTTCAAATTCTTCCATTCTTGGGAGAATTTGAAATTCTACTATTTTAAGAGAAATATTGAAACAAGATCGAGTTAAATTCAAAGATACCCAGTTAATGATCCAAGACAAGCTGAATCTCCTTGGTTTGTGGATTGCAAACCACATGATACATGGGAGTTAAAAATATAAATAACAAAATAAACAGTTAGGCACAATTATAATAATCCTAAGAAAACTTATGAACTAAATATATAATAATTAGTCATGGCTTACGAAGTATGTTGTTGGCAAAAGCAAAGCCTCCAAAAAATCCTAGGAGACCATCGAAAAATGGGAAGGTAATAGCAATGAACATTGTGAATGCTGAAAAAATTGAAATAAGAGGTTACATCAATGAACATATCCGAAGGAATTAAACCCATTGGAAGTGATACAATAACATGTCAAAAACATTTACATTACTTGATTCGGATCAGAAAGAGATACTTACCCACATATACATTACGTACAACAAAACGAAGCATTCTGCCTGGTTCAAAATTCAATTTCTTCATCATCACAGTTTCAATCATGTCAAACACTGGCATTGCATAAATCTGCACCAAATAGTCACATAAAGCAGCAGTTTAGACACTTATAGTTACTTTAATATAATGATTAGAAAAGGATAATAAATGCAATAATTCTCCAAACAGAAATAATTATAAAATTGCTCACAATCCTAAAGGATTCTTCCTCTATCCAATTCTCTCATGTAACTCTACATATAAATAATTCTAAATGCCACCCCACTTCTACTACTAAAAAAAATAGAAAATGAGTGTATCAACAAATGAGGTTAAATGGAGTCAAAGTCTCCAAGTAACCCACCCTAAAATCAATATACAGTGACTAATAAAATGAAATAAAGTAACTCACAAATCAAAGGCAAAAATAAGCCTATACAAGAGAACTATGTACAAATTATACACAAGTAGAACTAGGTCTTCTCTTCATGATAGAGTAGTCCAAGTGAAGAGTACCTTGGGCTTAGAAAGTCCACTGGTCTTCAAGATGTCCAACCCTTCTTGTATGCTCCTGGCCATAGCTCTAGTAATTGGGCCCTTGGCCCATGGTCCACCAGAACTTGAGAATAAGAAATCAATCTATTAGAAATTTAATATCTAATTGTATTATTTATGTTGATTTTATTAGGTCTTAAAATAATATTGCAAATCTACTCACAAAAGAGTTGATGCATCAATAAGTACTTGAATCATTGTGAGGAATGTGATTAAATCCCATCAACGAGTTGCAACAATGGGCACCTGTCTCCAAATAAATGGTGATCTCATGAATGGACTTTAATTAATGAGCAATAATGAAATTATTGGTACACCATTATAATTTGCAAAATTATTTCATGTCCCATTTCTATGGCGATGTGTACTCTAAATTAAATTGCAATAGTAATAAGGTTTAGATATTCAAATATTCATATTTTTTTGTGTTAAAATTAAAAATACCTCTTAATGGACCTAATGACAATTATTATAAGGGTGAGTGTCACAAATCACCCTTGGAAGGGTTCAACTAGTAAGTGTGGCGGTGGGTCCACCGTTGTGATATATATGGATAAATCTCTAAGTGATATTCACGATACAAGATACATACGTAAGGTCATACATGCTCCACTAATTATAACTTAAATAAACACCTTTATTATACATGTTATGTTCTAAAAAGAGATATGGCTCAATACAATTATGTCTTCATATTCTTTTAGGTGAAAGTTCATATACATTAAGTAAAAAGCTTATATATGAAAGATTCTTTATACTAAAAATATAATATATCATACGTCATTAAAAGTGTAACTTTTTATTTTTATTTTATATTTTAATATTCTATCATTTTATTTATTTAAATTTTAAATTAGTAGGAGAATCTTGGAAATTGATGTTATAATTTAAAAATTTAAATTATATATCTATTTATTTTTTAATTAATATTTTGTTTCACCCTTTTGCTAGGTTTAGGTCAATTACTTTTCTAGTATCCAAGACCAAGTCTTGACTTTAGTTTTTATTTAATTAATTTTTTCTTATCTATTTTACTTATTATTTTAAGTTGATTTTCGTACGTTATATTTTTTCGTTGCTGCACATTGCCTTTCTTGAGCAGTGCAGTTGTGGTTCGGTTGTCGCACGTTAGCGCAAGTCTTGCTACACAATGCACATTTGGTTTCTTTACGGTTTTTTTATTTTTTATTTATACATCACAAAAAGTGAAAATTATCTCTCATTTAAAAATTTTCTAATATTATTAAATATTTTAGAGTAGTATGTTTTTGGTTCAAACGTCTTTTTTTTTTTTTAAGGGAAGTTCAAACATCTTTTATTATACACAATGTTGACATATACTGAGAGAATATAAAATTCAAACTATTAGTGCAATGATACTTATCATATGAGAGTATAAAACTCAAATTATTAGTGTATTGATACGTTTTTTCCCTTTACATAAAATAATATTTTGCTCTTTATATTTAATGGTTGTTATTGATTGTTGTATTTGTTTTTAATTTTAAGTCATTGTATTGCTTATATTAACTTTTTTGGTAAATATAATTTTTATTTATTTGTTCTTTTAATTTTCCAACATATCGAATACATTCATCATTTCCAAAATGTTTTGGCAGTTAGGTTTTATTTTCAAATAACCTATTTATGTGAAGTTTAAAATAAAGCCGTCAACGAAAAGTTTGACAATTTAGTCAACATCCCTTTTTTCTGTCTTTCTTTCTTTTGAAAATTATGCTTATATGCCATAGCTTTTGCTTATAAGAAATTAGCTTTTGCATATGATAATGATAGAGTTGAACGAATTTTCAGCATTGTAGGCGTTCAAAACATCATATTAATTGCGACATATAATGATTCCATACATTGCGTTTACACTGAATTTTAATTTCCACCACTCGTTTTACGTTTTACATGTTAATTTATAACTATTAATCCAGAAATATCAATGTAGGTCCTTTTTATCTCTGCTCTTTAATAGACTACAATATTCTTTATATTAAAATTTATGTTTATGATAATGGAGATATCAGGATATATAATATTTTTAATATGTTATGATATATAATCATTTTTATCTTCACTTTTTAGTGAATTAATATACTCTTTAAATATAAAAAATATAAAAAATAAAAAAACAATTTTACATATTTTTTTTGAATAACCATCCACAATTATGTAACTATTAGATATATAAAAACTTCTTTAATTATGTATAAAGAATACAACTATCTAATATCTTATTTATGTAACTATTAGATATATGAAAACTTCTCTAATTCTGTATAAAGAATGTATATAATACGGTGATACATGTTTTTTTTTTATCCATGTGTAATAAAGAGTGATACATAAATATCTCTTAATTAGTCTTGTTTAAACAAAATAAATTTACAAACTTAATTTTTAATAATTTAATATTTAGGAATTTAATCTTCAATAAAGTTAAATTTAAGATTTTTATCTATAATATTTACAAAGACGATAATATATATTAAATTTAAGATATTATGTATATTATGCAAACTTTTTATCATTAGACTGACCTAGTAATTCTAAATAGTATATATTAGTTTAAGAACTTGTATATATTATATAAAATTTTCAACATGTAAAATTAAAGTTATATTTTTCTACTTTTATTTAACATTAAAAACAAACTTAATTTTTCAATAATCTTAATTAAGATCAAACTTAATTTTGATTTCAACACCAAAAAAAAAAACTTAATTTTGATTAGTTATAACCAAACATAATATATTTTTTTATTGAAAAATCATGCATGTAGAGTTCCTAAACATGCAATTAATTGATAATGTTGAATTTTCACACCGGACATACAGAATTTGTTTCCTTTGGTTTTCCTCTATATTCAGACCAATTGTGTAGAATAGTTTTCTATATCTTGAAATTCTTAATTATCTGAACTTTTTTTTTTTAGTTTTACCAAAAGAAGCAAACAATCAACTAATTTTTAGAAGAAAAAAAAACTACAGCTGTTTTTTTTTTATTTTTTTAATTTAATGAGAGCATATAAGAAGTGTGATAAGTTAATTTTGGATAAGAGGTATGCTTTAATTGAAAGGTAAAAATTCATTCTATATTTCGGTCATATCGTGCTTATTATTCATAAAATTTAATAAAATTAAACTAAAAGAAAAATATTCAGTATCTTATTATATAGAGTAAAACAAGTTCCGATATGGTGGTGGCATATATGGTGGGGTTAAAATAAAATACACATAATATTAAATACAAATCCTATTGTCATGATTGTAATTTCGATTTAAAAAATGTTCCAATTGATTGTATACATGAAGTATGAACGTAATTCTTCTACAATTGTGATGATTTTAATTCTCCAAAATGATAAAGTCTAAAAGAAAAAAAAATGTAATATCTCTAAAACAATATTTTGAATCCAATCTTTATTATTTTCTAAAATTTATTAAAATTAACAACAAAAAAATTATAAGTTTCACTTCTTATTTCTAAAGGGTCTCATTCATGATTTGTTATTTTCAAAAACTTTAACAAATAAAAAAAAATATTAAGAAAATGTGTTACTTCTCCATATAGTACTAATCTTATTTTTAAAGGGCCCTCATTCATGATTTTGGATTGTACTTGGTGGAAACAAATCACAAAAGGCATAGACCAGACTAAGTAGTCTTAGTCAGCACTCAACAATTAGCCTACAATGCTATCCTCCAAAATTGACATTTCTGTTGCTTGGCACAATTTGAATAGTAAGAACCCTCAATCTAAAATCTAAATCAAAAGTAAGTATGTATAAATTGTTCAAGAGTTGTGTTTATAGGTGCTATTATTCTTTTATAAGTACTGACCCAATAAAAAAAAAGGTGTTATATCTCATTATAAAATATAAATAAAGTTGTCACTTACACTTACCATTGGTAGCCTAATACTAATATTCAAACCATTAACTAGATAAAATTTTTTTTTGGTTCAAATATATGCTTTGATTTCAAACATGACATGCATCACCCGTTTTTGTTTGTAATGTGCTTCGGTGCTGTATTAAAATACATAATATTTTTTAGCAGAACCAAAATTTTATTATCATAATTTATTGAGAATCATATTATTTTGTAAGTTTTATTCTTTATCTAACATTTTTTTTAATTTTAATAAATTTTAACCATAAAATCTATAATACTAATAGAAAAATTTGAAGGTAGCGGATTTTTTAAGACGTGTCATCTTCAGAACAAACCACCACTAAAAAGAGCTTTCAAGTTTTAACGATTTATAAAAATTTGAATGAAACATTATTAACCCTGAATTTTTTGGTTAGGAATCAATGGGCATCGAAAAATGGAGCCCAAATTTGTAAAAAGGCCTCTCAGATCCGTTTGAAGCCCAAATCTGAAGACAATACGACTTATGATATATACACCTTTTTTTTTTTTTTAATAAGTTTACCTCCTTCACTTTTTTTAGAAAAAAATTCTAAAATATCTTTAATTTTTTTTTAATTTTACATCTCGAACTTTTAATTTACTACTTTGTTTTTCTTTA